GGAGTTACGGCGCGACCTCTACCTCACCTACCTTCTCTGTATGCCGCCGTTAGATCGCCTTTCTTTTGGTTTTTGTCTCCTCTGTTGCATGTTCCCATGCTACTTTTGGCCTCACCTATAGCCGTTGTGACTGTATGCCAGATGTACTACGCTGTTGTCTGTTGGTGCTTGATTGATCTCAATGAGTAATGACGCCTTTCTAATCTGCTCTTGGAATGTACGAGGACTTGGTGATAACGATAAGTGCTCTGACGTGCTTTCCGAACTAATCACAACAAAACCGCACATCACGCTTCTACAAGAATCAAAACTCGACTCTCTTCCCGACAGTAAAATAAAATCCTTCCTCCCACGCCAGACCGACCACGTTTTCTCCTCGCCAGCGGTCGGAACCGTGGGTGGCACCATCTCGGCCATCAACTCTACCTCCTTCCAAGCCGTGTCCTTCTCTCACTTAACCTTTTCATCCACACTAATCCTCCAATCAACTGCTTGCGCACACCACATTGTCATTACTAACATCTACGCTCCCTCTTTGCGCCCTCTCAAGTTAGCATTCTTAGACGAACTCACCTCTATCGCACAACCAGCTGACACCCCATGGCTCATCGCCAGCGACTTCAACCTTATCCGTTTCTCCTCCGAGAAAAATAACTCCGCCTTCCACCCCGCCGAAGCCAACGCGTTCAACCAAACCCTAGATAACCTAGCTCTCATCGAATTGCCCTTACTCAATCGTAGGTTTACTTGGTCCAACAACCGTGCCTCCCACACCCTAGAACGGCTAGATCGCGTCTTCTTTAACCTTGGATGGGCAGATACATTCCCCAACACTTCCCTTTTCTCTCGATCCCGCTTTACATCCGATCATGTTCCACTCCTCATCCACGTCACCACCTCCATCCCTAAATCCAACTTCTTCAAATTTGAAGTGGCTTGGGCCAACTCCCGGCCTTGTAAGAACATTGTCGCTCAAATCTGGACTCCACAGCCCTCATCACCAAACAATTCTACTGCCTCCCTCGTCTCTGCGCTCAAAAAGTCCCGTCTTAAGACTTGGGAACGCTCTCGTATCCCCACCCATCTTCGCGAGGCTCACTGCCAAGACGTAGTCAAAGCCTTAGACCTAGTTGAAGAGACTAGAACGCTATCTCTGCCAGAGTCGCTCACCCGCAAAATCATCATCACCTTGCTCAAGAGTGCCATCCACAAGAAAATGACATACTGGCGCTGGCGTGCAAAAGTCTCTCGCGCTATCCACGAAGGAGAAAACACCAAGTTCTTTCACATATCAGCATCTCAACAACTGCGTAAGAACAAAATTTTCACACTCACACGCGACGGATCCGAATACTCTGCGCACCGCCAGAAAGCACAAATCCTCAGAGATTTCTTTGTCTCTCTAATTGGCACCCCAGGAACGACAACATGGACCTTTGACCTAAAATCCATATACCCTCACACAGTGCCTGGACTCCATGCCCTCGATGCACCCTTCTCAGAAGACGAAATTAAACATGCGTTTTTCTCTATGAATCCCCAAGCCATCCCGGGTCCGCATGGCTTTGGGCCAACATTCTATAGATCGTTCTGGCCATTAGTGAAACACCTTATTCTGCCCTTCTTCTCGCATTTCCACCAAGGTACTGCTGACAAAGAATGTCTAAACCGTGCCCATATTGTTCTCCTCCCTAAGAAGGATGCACCGACCTCCCCTGACACTTTTAGACCCATCTCGCTGCAAAACTGCCTGATAAAAGCTATTGCAAAAGTTACCACTTCTCGCCTAAAACCTTTCATCCCTATGCTAGTTCATGGCAATCAAACCGACTTCATTTCTGCACTACAAGAAATCGGTTAATACATGACGGATATCTCTTGACGTTTTGATAAACCGTCATGAACCTGAAGGAAATATGCCCTAGAGGCAATAATAAAGTTATTATTTATTTTCTTATTTCATGATAAATGTTTATTATTCATGCTAGAATTGTATTAACCGGAAACATAATACATGTGTGAATACATAGACAAACAGAGTGTCACTAGTATGCATCTACTTGACTAGCTCGTTAATCAAAGATGGTTATGTTTCCTAACCATAGACAAAGAGTTGTTATTTGATTAACGGGATCACATCATTAGGAGAATAATGTGATTGACTTGACCCATTCCGTTAGCATAGCACTTGATCGTTTAGTATGTTGCTATTGCTTTCTTCATGACTTATACATGTTCCTATGACTATGAGATTATGCAACTCCCGTTTGCCGGAGGAACAATTTGTGTGCTACCAAACGTCACAACGTAACTGGGTGATTATAAAGGAGCTCTACAGGTGTCTCCAAAGGTACATGTTGGGTTGGCATATTTCGAGATTAGGATTTGTCACTCCGATTGTCGGAGAGGTATCTCTAGGCCCTCTCGGTAATGCACATCACATAAGACTTGCAAGCATTGCAACTAATGAGTTAGTTGCAAGATGATGTATTACGAAACGAGTAAAGAGACTTGCCGGTAACGAGATTGAACTAGGTATTGAGATACCGACGATCGAATCTCGGGCAAGTAACATACCGATGACAAAGGGAACAAAGTATGTTGTTATGCGGTCTGACCGATAAAAGATCTTCGTAGAATATGTGGGAGCCAATATGAGCATCCAGGTTCCGCTATTGGTTATTGACCAGAGACATGTGTCGGTCATGTCTACATTGTTCTCAAACCCGTAGGGTCCGCACGCTTAACGTTACGATGACAGTTTCATTATGAGTTTATATTTGATGTACCGAAGTTTGTTCGGAGTCCCGGATGCGATCACGGACATGACAAGGAGTCTCGAAATGGTCGAGACATGAAGATTGATATATTGGAAGCCTATGTTTGGACATCAGAAGTGTTCCGGGTGAAATCGGCATTTTACCGGAGTACCGGGAGGTTACCGGAACCCCCGGTAACCTAATGGGCCTTAATGGGCCTAGTAGAGGAAGAGGAGAGGAGGCCTAGGGGCTGCCGCGCGCCCCTTCCCCCCAAGTCCGAATTGGACAAGGAGGGGGGGCGGCGCCCCCCCTTTCCTTTCCCCCTCTCCTCCTTCCCCCCAAGTCCTAATCCAACTAGGGAAGGGGGGGGGAGTCCTACTCCCGGTAGGAGTAGGACTCCTCCTGCGCGCCTCCTCCTAGGGCCGGCCGCACCCCCCTTGCTCCTTTATATACGGGGGCAGGGGGCACCTCTAGACACACAAGTTGATCTTCATGATCGTTCTCTTAGCCGTGTGCGGTGCCCCCCTCCACCATACTCCTCGATAATATTGTAGCGGTGCTTAGGCCAAGCCCTGCGACGGTAGAACATCAAGATCGTCACCATGCCGTCGTGCTGACAGAACTCTTCCCCGACACCTTGCTGGATCGGAGTTCGGGGATCGTCATCGAGCTGAACGTGTGCAGAACTCGGAGGTGCCGTACGTTCGGTACTTGGATCGGTCGGATCGGGAAGACGTACGACTACTTCCTCTACGTTGTGTCAACACTTTCGTTGCCGGTCTACGAGGGTACGTAGACAACACTCTCCCCTCTCGTTGCTATGCATCATCATGATCTTGCGTGTGCGTAGGAATTTTTTTGAAATTACTACGTTCCCCAACAGAACTGGCCTAGTTCAGCCCCTAGCCCGCTAAAGCCCGCCGAAGCCCGCATGACACATTCCCCGTATAAAAGCTAACCCTATGGGACGTGGAGCTTTTGTGCGCGGGCTCAAATGAGCTCGTTATCTTGGGCGTTCGATAGCTCGTTTGGATCTGTGCCATTCTATTGAACGACTGCTGGAGAATCGCTGGAAAATGTGCACTGTGCACAAATACGTCTGCGAAAGCGATGGCTGGTGGGCCTATTTGTAACGCGCGGGCTGCCAGCCGTTAGACGTCTACGGGGTGGGCCGTGGACCAGATTCGACGCTCCCATCTGATCCGTGGCCCAGGATTTTAGCTTTCCGTTTGGTGGGCTCGGGCATGAGAATGCGTGGTCTAGTGCTTTCTTCCCCATAGCGGTGCTCTTATTTGGAAGCTAGCTGCTGGAGAATCGGGAGGAGGAGCACCGGCGGCGACCATTCATGGAGTTCCTGATGCAGCCTATGCATGGGTACGTCCATCTGTTCTTCTCGCCCCCTCGCAGTCTCCTTTCAAATCTCATTACTCTGGATCTCGAGTTTCACAAAACATCGTTTGCCCCTGTCTCAGATCCACTTTCCTGTAGGAGGTGGGAGAAAGCTTGGTACCGCCGCTAGTGGCGGCGGTGGCGCCTGTGCTGCTGGAGGCGGATGTGGTACATGCGACATTGCAGCAGCTAGTGGTGGAGAAGGGCGTTCTGGGGTATGTGCGCTCGGCCGTCAGTGGTGATGCCCAGATTGTGTCAGCCAAGCCATCGGCGGCAGTCAGGATGGATAGCTCGCCACCGTCGTCGGAGCGGTCTACTGGGAAGATGAATCCTCGGGTGCCTGGATGGAATAAGAGGTTACTCCTGGATTTTGGTCATGATCAGTAGCAGAGTAGCTCTGTCAGTTAGATAATGATTTTGTGTGGAGCTAAAATGTAGCATACATAATAAGTACAGAAAAATTGGTGTCAATTATTGTGGAATGAGTTTTTACTTGTATGACCATTAGATTTAACAGCAATTTTGTAGGAAGTATTTGTTATCTAACTTGGGATTAAAAGAAGCATCGATTTCAATTGCAGTCAAGCATTTATAGTAAGTTTTCATTGATAGAGCCATTGGACTTAATAATGAAATTGGTATGAATTACTCGTAATCTTGCTTCAGTTTACATGCATTTTGGAAAAATATAGTAGCATATGCATGCTTAGTGAAATCTGGTGAGTGAGTTATGGAGGTGGATGTGTTTGTAGGTTGAGGATTGGAGCTGCTGTACCAACAGGCCGCCTTGTCCAAACCGGATCGGTGCATTCGAGAAGGCTGTGCGGAGTTTTGCTGAGAACCCGACTGACAATGTTATCACACCAGTTATCGGCACCAACATTCGACTCGATGGGTGAGGCGTATGACTTCTACAATTTGTACTCGTGGGAGAAGGGATTTGGCATTCGTTACAGGAAGAGCAGGCTAAATGTGGAGAGGACCAAAAGCATGCAGGAAATAGTTTGTGGTTGCTCGGTGGGTGTTTTTTTTGTTACTTATTTTTATGCTGGGACATACACTTCATATTCGTGTCCTGTGTGTGGTGTCGACAAAATTACTGAACTCACTGGCTTTTGTTGGAAATCATTTTGCAGGGCAAAGCTGGTGTGGGGAACACCAGGTCTTGTCATTGCGAGTGCCCCGCTCTAATAAGGTTGCTACGAGTGGAGGAAAACGGATGGTACATTGCAGAGCATAGAGATAGTCACAACCACTCGTTGTTGCCTAATTTTGGTGAGACAATCCATTGGCCCTCACACAAGCACATAGATGTGTACACCAGGAATCTAGTGAAACAGTTAAGGCAGAACAATGTGAACTTAGCAAAGGTGTACAACATCATTGGAGGCTTCATTGGATCAATGGAAAATGTTTCGTTCACTAAGAGGTCGTTGTGTAACCTGTGTGGGAAGATAATCAGGGACCATGCAGAAGATAATGTGAAGAAGACAATGGATGTTTTTGCAGAGATAGGGGCTAAAGATCCACACTTCACATATAGGGTTGAGTCTGACAATGAGGGCAGGATTAAGAATCTGATGTGGGCAAATGGGAGCAGCAGGCTTCAGTACTCATTTTTTGGAGATGTCATAACATTTGACACGACTTATCGGACTAATCTGTACGACATGCCTTCTGGCCTGTTTGTAGGGGTAAATAATCATTTTCGGAGTGTGATCCTGGCAGGTGTGCTCGTGCGTGATGAAACTGAAGATAGTTTTGAGTGGGTTTTCTCAGGATTCCTTCGAATGATGGGCGGGTCTCCACCGGTGACCATACTAACAAGTAAATTTCTGTTATTCTTTGGAAAGTACTCAATCACTTTTGTGCTGGTAATTGTGAGATACCGGTACAGATTTAGATGTATTAGGTGTTGATGAAATTTTTCTGTTCGCATTTGCAGACCAGAACCGGGCTATGGAGCTGGCTATCAAGAAAGTTATGCCGGATGCAACACACCGGTGGTGCAAGTGCATGTGCTGAAGAAAGCAAAAGAGTCATTGGGTAGTCTGTACACGAAGAAAAGTGATTTCAGATCTGAATTTCATAAGGTCATAAATCACATCTTGACAGAAGATGAATTCGAGCAAGCTTGGGAGATGTTGCTGGACAAATACAAGCTTAGGGCACATTCGTACATGACAAACCTGTTTGAAATCCGTAAGAAATGAGCGAAGCCTTAATTTAAGGGAGTTTTTTGTGTAAAAATGACCAGCACACAAAGGAGTGAGAGTGCGAACCATATGCTTAAAGATTATGTGCCTCCTGGTTGAACAATGCACATGTTTGTTCAGAAATACATGAGGCTCTAGTTTGACCAGAAATCGGAGAACTACGAAGAGAAATGAACATGAATTGTGAGAATTTCTTGTTGGGAGTGTCGTATGTAGTTGAAGTCATTGTGACAAACATATGAATAGAGAAATAAACATTTACGATGCTTGTGTACTATTTGTGCAGGGGAGGCCGCTCATGAGGGCAAACCTTGAAGTGGAAAGGCATGCTAGCAAGATATATACAAGAGCCATGTTTGAACAGTTTGGGCATATATTATATGAATGTGGCGCTTATCAAGTTGAAGAGATTGAGAGACACAAGACATATGTCGCAATCCACAGCGAGGCAGAGAAGAGAAAGAAATGGTGCAGAGTGGCATACAAGGTTAGTATGCTAGATGGGGGTGATGAACTCGACTGCGAGTGTGGACAATTTGCACATGTGGGCTTGCTTTGCAGCCATGTGCTGAAGGTTAGTGGACGGGCATTTCTCCTGTGTTCTTTTACGCAGAGATCATGGTGAATTAGACTGCAAGTATTCATGGTGAATTAGAACCGTTCTCCAGCTCGGGAAACAAAGGTCACCACCTTGGCAGTGCATACTGGGCAAGGGATCAGCGGGAGCACCTGGCCGGCCTGGGAGGAAGAAGATGAGCTTGCCATTTGCCATCTTCTCTGATCTGATTCTTACAAAGCGAGGAAGAAGAGGATAAGGCAATGGGGGAGCAGCCCGTGGAGTCTTGTAGTGGAAGGAGCTAGGTGCGGGTCCGGCTGGACAACGGCCGTTCGGTATCAAACGTCTGAGCCGTGGACCAAGATTCGGTATCAAACGTCTGAGCCGGCCCTGAAGGCGTCACGGCCGTTGCATTGACAGCGACAGCTGGGTGGGCCACGACGTGGGAAAAAGCAGCGCATACATGTCCATATACAGACTGAAATACCTGCAGCGGTGGGAATCTCAGCAAAAGCTGACGGCTATGATATCGAGTCCATCTGAGCTCGAGCTCAGAATAGGACTTTCGAACCCTATGCCTCTTTTTCCCCCCATCTCTTTCTCCCACTGCCGTCGCCCCAGCATCTTCTCCCTTCTCTCTGATCCTCTCCTTTTCGCTGCCCCCGCACCCCCACCGCTCTGGTTCTCCTTCCTCCACACAACCCCACCTCCACGGATGCGGCCTTTTTCTACCCCATCCTCTCCCGTCCTCAATACCATGGCCTCGGGCTGCTGCTATAGATCCGGCGCGCGCAGATCTGGGACGAAGTTGAACCCCGACACAGGTCTTGTCAGACCGGAGCTACCGTCGGGTGGCCGGTTACCACAATTGCTCGGTGGAGGCCGCACCTAGTCGCGACTGGTTAGTGATGCTGCCCTTGCCCCTCCCTCTTTTTGGCTTCCTCGATACCATGGCCTTGTGTTGCTGCTGCGACCGCCGGTTCATTTGCCTACACTGGTAGCTGTACCAGCCATTCGTTGGCAAGCTGGGAAGGCTATGGCTGGTGCGTGGCCTCCCTCTACAGTCGATTTCCTAAGCGTGGCTATTGCCTTCTCCAACTTGTAGGGTGTGTTGTGTGTGCGTGATGACATGGCGGCAACAGCAGCAATCGGTGGCTCCGGCGTGTCTACTAGTGAGATGTGCGTGCGTGCAACAGCCAGTATGTTGTGTGTGTCGTGCTTCCTCTCTGAATCTTTTAACATTGAGTTTTCTCTCCATCTTGTACACTGCAGGGTACCAAGTAGATATATCCGCACATGTTCGTCAACCGGCTGCAGACGCGACCTTCTATCAATATCTATTTTAGTTAGTTCTCTACCAAATCTAATTCAGTTTAGATTTTTCCGATAGTTTGGTGTATCTCTGTTCTCTAAATCAATATAACCAAGTGTTCAGTATTCATTCAGTTTATTTTCTATCAAAATATAATTCAGTATGAATAAATGTAATCAAGTGTGGTCAATAATTTCATCAAATAGGTCTTGAAGACATGATTTCTGTTAATGTATTAACATCATGACATGTTCTGTTTAGTGTTTTCTCCTAGGCATTTCTTTTTCTGTTTTTACTGTCTCTTGCAGCTCGGTGAATATATATATCAGAATTAGTTTAATCTGAATCTAAGAAGAAAATTACATTTACAGTGTGGCAGTCCTACAGTAATAATACAGAGTTTAAACTTGTCAATTTGTGTACTAAACTCATGTATTAGTGAGCCAATTTATAGTAGTACTACTACTATTAGTTCTGCACTTACTAGTACTTGTACCAAGACAACATACATGTTAGCTCACTCTCAACCTGGAGACACACCGAGCTAGCACTTGCCAACACAATGACACACACATTTCTTATTCAACTCCTCTGCTCCCTACCTCCATATCTAGGTCGCCCTCAGCAATAGTTCCGCCAACAAGTGGGGATTGTTGTCTACTGCTTTTTCTAAATCTTGTTGATGTTATTCCCTCTTTTTAACTTTGATAACTTAACATTCTAATTTCCCAACAAGTGGGTCTTGGTGGCACTGCTGCATGACGCAAAATAGAGCTTGAGAGGGCTTGTTGCCACGATGGCCGTGATGGAGCTGCTCCGTGATCAACCAGGGGTTGGTTCTCTACTGCCACTCCTATGATTTCTTCATTATTTCCATTCACAAGCTCAACTACCACTGAACTACACCTATTTAGTTGATCTAGTTCAGAGTTAGGTATTTTAAATGCCAATTGAAGTTTACGTGTCAAGCAAGTGTTGGTTGCTATTTTTAGATCCTTGACAAATATTTAGTTTCATGAGTGAACTTGTTGACACATGAACATTTGATGTTTACGCCGGCCGGGTCGATGAGAAGCGGCTCCGCGCCATTGATATTGCTTATTAGTGATGCCATTTTCCCGTGGATTTATATGGCCTCAACTGCTGCTGAGTACTAGGAGTTCTGAAATCTATCTTCTGTTACCTTGTCACTTAAAGGTCAACTTGAATAGACTTTCATTTGACACACTTCTATTTGGATTAATGTTAAGCAACAACATGATTATTATTGTTTTATAGTATATAATGTTATTCTCATTTGTAGCCATGGTATGTTTTAAGAATTTTGGAAAGCATGTCATTTATTTTAATGTTTGTTCTAATCTCTTATTTCTACTATCTAATGTCTAATTTTGTTGTAAATACGCTAAGGTATTAGGTAGAGGGCTACTATCAGGAAGGCTGACGACAAGAACCTCAATAACAACCTCAAATAGTTTGTTGGTACAAATATGCTAGGTATCATTAGGTAGCAGGCAACCATCAGGAGGGCCGACGGCGAGAACCAGAATAACAACCTCAATCATTTACATGTTCTGTTTATGTAAATTGGATTGTGTTAGTTCCAAACCTTGCCGTGTCTTTCACATGTGCTGCTGAGATGTTTGATCACATCAAATCAAAAAAATCTTGCCTTGTGCAATTCCATCAAAACAGCTTAGTGATTGTTACTACATGACATACATGTAAATCCCCTGACATCCCATGTCCTACGTAATTAATTCGGTGCGTGAAGTATTCTAGCTTGCGTAAACTAAGGTGACTTAGTACTAGTATTATGTTCAGTTGGTGTTCATGTTTTATGATTTAGCTTGTACCTTAATAACCATGAAGTAATTTGTAAGCCATGTAATAAATTATATTTGCAGGTCTTGTCACCTTCTATACAAATATACTGGTTTGTTTCATTTCATTATTTTTCCTGTTATAAGTAATAGTACTCTCAATACTTGCCAAGTGGACATGTAATACACTTTTTACACTTGTAATACTGTTGTCTCTACTATCTATGAATCTACAAAAATCTAATATTCTTTTAAATATGCTAGGTATGATTGGGTAGTTACCCATCATAATCTGCGCCAGGACATGATAGTTGTCATCAGGAGAGTCGACGAAGAACCTCAACAGCAGCTTCAAAAGTTTATATGTTTTGTTGATGTAAACTGGATTGTACTGCTTCTTAACCTTGTTGTGTGATATATTTAATGTTGTGAATTATCATTACATGGAAGGATTTGTAAATTGCTATGTTGTATATACACACAGGATTTTTTTTGAGAAAAATATATACATACAGATGGCCCGCATATTGCGTGAATTGTTTGAAATTACT